AAGATAAGAACCATTCATTAGTTTCTTCTCTTGCTTTCTTACTACATTTTGGATTTATTCTGTCACTTTTTCCCCCAATTTATTGAGTTCCATGTGTAGCCTTATGGATTATCAGCTTTATTCTTTTTTAGTATAAGTGCTACAAAATGAGTTTTAGATGCCCCCTACATATATTTAAAATTTTGATTGTCTCTCTCTTTTAATCTCTGCAGATTTAAAACCAGCCCTATTGGGATTTAATTGAAATATAATAAAGTGCATATAAAGTGTGTAGTTTGATAAGTTTTGACACACTGATGCACCTGTGAGAATATCAATGCAATCAAAATGATGAACATACCTACCATCACTGAACATTCACTTATTCACCTTTGTGATCCCTCTTCCTATTTCCTCGTGACTGTTGGTCTACTTTCCTATACCGCAGATTGGTTTGCATTTTTGAGGTTTTTAAAGAAGTAGGATCATTCATATGTATATACTCTGTCTTATCTGCATTCTCTAACTCAGCACAAATATTTTGGATTTCACCCAGGTTGATCCATGCAGCTCATTCCTTTTTATTGCTGGGTAGTAGTACATTGTGCAGTCCATTTACCACTCACCTGTTGATAGACATTTGAATTATTTTCAGCTTTTGACTATTAGAAACAAAGTCTATATGACCATTTATGTACAAGTCTTTGAATGGACACATGCTTTTATCTTTCTGGATTAACAAATACCTAGGAGTAGAAAGGCTGGATACTAGGGTAAATATACATTTAACATTTTAAGAATCTGCCAAACTGTTTTTCAAAGTGGCTGCACCATTTTACATTCCTGCCTTCAGCGTATGAGAGTTCTAGCTGCTCCCTGTACCTGCCAACACTTCGTATGGTCTGTCTTTTCCACTGTAGACATTCTAGTAGGTGTGTAGTGCTTGTTCATTTGGGTTTGATTTAGATTTCCCTAATGACTAGTGATGCTGGACATCTTTTCCATGCTCTTATTGGCCATCAATATATCTTATGTAGTTAAGTAACTGTTCATATCTTTGGCCTCTTTTTGAATTCAGTTATATATTTTCCTGTTATTGAGTTCTCAAAGTTCTTTGTATATACTTGATACAATTCCTTTATCAGATATGTGATTTACAAATATTTTCTTGAAGTGTGGGGCATATCTTAACAGTGTCATTTGAAGACTGGAAGTTCTTAATTCTGATACACCCAATTTATCAACTCATCATTGCTCTAGTGTTCAAAGTCATCAGGAGCACAGTGTTTTACATTTTGGCTTATTACTCATTGCCATGAGGAAGAACACTCACCATTGAGAACCACAGGGAGTCTCAGGATGAAGGAGTTTGCAAGAGCCTGTTCTGGCATCTGAGCTCTGGCTGAGTCATTTTGGGAAAGATCTTAGGGAGTGGGATCTGACTGGGCTCTGTGATGGGGTATATCGCTAAATCTCATTTATAAGGAGGGCAAACCAGAGTGAGGATGAAGAGGTAATTGGTAAAGATGTAGTCATTCATTTTAGCTGAGAGAGGGAGATGGTCAGTATCTTGTGGGTTGCACAGGGACCTTGTTTTTGTCTCATTTTATCATGTGCTCAGGGTGACTTTGATGCTGGTGATGCTGGTGTTCTGTGAAACTGTTTATGTCCAACAGGAGAACAACATTAATTAGTCATGACCATCAGGCCAGCTTTGGAATACTATGGAGGACTCATTGTGTGTCAGACCGGTTCTGGATGGGAGAGGTTCTTTTTTTTCCTTATCTTTTTCTTTTATGGATCATGATTTTGTTGTATCTGAGATCCAAAGATTCTCTGCTATGCACTTTTTTATACTGCCTTGAAGTTCTGTGGTTTTACTTTCAGGTTGATAATCTTTTTTCAGTTATTTTTTGTGCATGATGCAAAGTATAGATCAAAGTTCTTTCTCTCCTTCTTCTCCTTCTCTTTTTCCTCCTCCTCCCGACCCCTTCTTCTTTTTGCATACAGTTAACAATTGGTCCAGCACCGTATGTTGAAAACACTATCCTTTAAATAGCCTGAAGAGCCTCTGTTGAGACTCACTTGCCAATATATGTATGGGGATCTATTTTTGGAATTTCTACCCTATCCCATTGATCTACTTGTTAATTTTGACACCAGATCTACACTGTCTTGATTACTGTAGCTTTATGAAGAGCCTTGAGGATTCTCCTTTTGTTCTTTTTCAAAGTTCTTCCAGATACTTGAGGTGCCATACATTTTCATATGAGTTTTAGCATCAGCTTGTCAATTTTTACAAAAGGTATACTGGGATTTTAATGGAATCCATAGGTGAATCCATAGATTGATTTGGGGAGAATTGAGATCTTAACAATATTGAGTCTTCTGATCCTTCAGCACAGTATGCCTGTCCATTTGTTTGGATCTTTTTGATTTCTCTCAGTGATATTTTGTAGTTTTTGTAATGTATAGGTTTTACACATATTGTTTTGGACTTGCCCTTAACTTTTTCATAGTTTTTATATTACCATGATATTTAAAAATTTCTATTTCCACTTGTTGCTAATATATTAGCAACCCAACTCTTTACTCTGTGGGCAATTGTGAGGTGTGCTATTTAGTTTTGAAATACTTGAGGATTTTCTGGATACTTTTTAAATATTAGCTCCTATTTTTAATCCCCTGTAGTCAGAGAATATATGTTGTGTGACTTGACTCCTTGGATCCTATAAATTTATTGAGACTTGTTTTATGGCTCAAACATACCATATTGATAAATGTTCCACATGTACTTGGAAAGAATGTCAATTCTGTTATTGTTAGGAAAATATTCTATAAATGTCAATCAATTCAAACTGGTTGGTAGTACTGTTCAGTTCTTCTGTATCCTTATTGATTTTCAGTTACACATGTACTATGATTGTTGGGAGAGAGGTATTGAAATTTCCAAGTATAATTATGAAATGCACATTATAGTTCTATCAGTTTCTGCTTTGTATATTTTGAAGTTCTATTATTAGGTGTATATGTGTTTAGGATTTTTAGGTCCTTTTGACCAATTGACCCCTTTATCATTCTGAAATGGGCATTTTTCCTCCTAGTAATATTCTTGGCTACATGAAATCTTTGTCAGATATCGCTATAGTCACTCTAGCTTTATTTTGATAAGGGTTAAGATGGGACATCTTTTTCCATCCTTTTACCTTTAACTTATTTGTATCTTCTTATTTAAAGTGGGTTTTTTTGTAGGCAGTATATATTTGGATCTTCCTTTGGACACAATTTGACAGTCTCTGTCTTTTAATTATGATGCTCAGACCATTAATATTTAATTAATATTAATACATTGAGTTTGAATCTACCATGTTGCTATTTATTTTCTATTTGTCTCATCTGTTTTTTTATTCCCTTTCTCCTCATTTTCTTCTTACTTTTGGATTAATAGAACAGACAAAAATTTTCATTTTATCTTCTTAGTTGGCTTTTTAGCCACACCTACTTGTGTTATTGAGGTGATTGTTTTAGGGTATACATCTTTAGTTTATTATACTTTTCCTTCAAATGACATATCACTTCATATGCAATATTAAAACCTTACAAGAGAATCTTTCCATTTCACCTCTACTGGCCTTTGTGCTGTTTTTGTTACACAGTTTATTTCTGCATATGTTATAAACCTCACCATACAGTATTTTTGCTTTAAACACTTAGCAGCATACCTCCAACAAGCTTCTCCTTTCTGTTTTCTTGTTAGAAATTTGTCTAAAATAAGAACAAGTAGGATCTGAGATCATGAGGTTTCATAACCTTTCCTGTGTAGTCTTTGTTGCACCAATTTAACTGCTCAGAAGCTTTTTTCCACCTAGCTTCCTGGTTGTTATTTGTGGATTTGTTGGATAAGCAATCTTCAAATATAAGTGAATTGTCACTGGATAAAGAAAGTAGATGAAAACTCAAAAAGTGATTAAAAAGAGAACTTGGGATCAAATCTAGTTTGACTACAACTGTTACCAGTCAAAATAAAGTCATTCATGGAAAGGGTGGTGGGAGGTGGGGGCTATGCTCTGTATTTGTTTCTTTATTATAGGACTAAAGGGTTTGCCAAAGTTGTCTTCTTTTCCCTTTTATGAACTGGTCTAAAATGTTCTCTCTTCACTTCATGAGGCATCTCCCCATTTCCAAAGCCACATTTGATGATGGAGATATTTTATATTTTCTTTAGCCAGCAGTATTAGATGTAGAAAAACCTCACCAACCTAGAATAAAAAAGCTTCCCCTGGAAATAATGAACAGTATGGATTCTGGGATAGTGTGATGTGTTTTAGTACATTCAAATACTTTGAATAAAGTCGATGATGGAACGAACAATAGGAAGAGAAGAGTGGGCTCCACATAATGAGAATTGTAAAAACTGGTTAATGGGCACACGAGGAACAAAGTCCTTGCTTATACACCAGCGTAGCTTTCAAGTCCTTCATTTTTAAATACTTGATTTCTGCTTCCTAATCAAGGGTACAATACAATTGTCCATTTCTCAAATCCTTCCTTCCCCCAGCACCTAGTTTGGTATTTCTTTGAGTTCTTTATTAAGATTATTGTTCTAAATTAAGAGTTCTAAAATGCCTCAAACTTAGCGTTCCATTAAGGGAAGCTTGCTGATGAGAGCCGTTCAGTACCCACTTCGGCTTCCCAGTCATTTAAGACCATTTCCTAAATCAAAGCTTGCGATGCGTGGCGAGCTTGGCAAGTGTCCTCGGGTTCTCTAACCACAGCCCCAGGCTGTCCTGGCGGCTGGGCGGCCTCGCAGAAGCTGGGCGCGGGGCGGGGCTGCTGTTCCAGGCGGGTTCGTGGGAGCTCGGCGGGGCGGCGGCCGGAGGACGCGCGGGGGGCGCGGCTGGGGTAGACGAGCGCGCGCGCACACTCGCGCCGGCCGCCCGCCACCGGGCGGGAGAGGGTTTCCCCGAGACGCCGACTCGGGGCGGGGATCGCCACGTTCCCACGGGCGACCTGGGTGACAGAAGCAAGCGGAGCCAGGAGGGCGCTGCGCCCACCGTCCGCCCCGCACGGGTGAGGTGGCGGCCCTGCCCACGCCCTGCGGGGGACGCTGCCCCAGCCTCGCACCCGCGCCTCTGGCCGTGGTCGCGGCCGCCCCCAGACGCGCCGGGTTCTCGGCGGAGACGACGGCCGCGCTCCCGCCGCCCGCCTGTGGGCGGCGGAGCATCCTCGCCTCTCCGCTTCTTCCCTCCAGGCCCGAGCCCCGCAGCCGCGCGAGCCCCGAGCCGGTTCCGCCCCCGCCCCCGCCCCCGTGTCCCGGCTGCGGCTGAGGGGAGCCGTCCGCCCGGCGGCTGAAGGGCAAAGAGGCGTTCCGCGCGGGCGACTACGATATCGCAGCCGAGCTGTTCCGTTCCGGGCTGGCCGGGCTGGTGCAGCCCGACCGCGGCCTGTGCCTGCGGCTGGGGGACGGGCTGGCTCGCGCGGGCCGCCTCCACGAGGCCCTGGGCGCTTTCCGCGGCGCTGCGCGGCTCGCGGCGCCGCGGCCTGAGGAGCCGGGGTAGCTGGCGGGCGGCCTGGCGCGCCCCCTGGGCCAGCGTGAGGGGCGGCTGCAGCCTGCGAAGCCGGGCGAGGGCCACAAGCCGGTGACCCTGCCGTGCGGGCTCACGGTGCGCAGGCGCTGCGTGGACTTGGGGCCCGCGCGGCCGCTGGCGCGGCGAGTCAACGTGGTGCTGAGCGGCCTGCTGGAGAAGTGCTGCCGGCCAAGGGCCGGGTGCGCAGGCTGGCGGGCCAGGCGCGGAGTCTGCAGCGTCAGCAGCAGCCCGAGGCCGCGCTGCTCAGGTGCGGCCAAGCCCTGGACCTGAGTAAGTCGGCCGTGGGAGCTGCCGCCGTCCCGCACGCCAGGCGAGCGCAGGGGTGGGAGTAGAGGCTTTGTCCGGGCTTGGGGGTTGTTTTACTTTACGAAGGCGGAAAGGTGAAGATGCAGCCAGAGCGGCTGGTGTCAAGGTAAGTTGCACCCCCTGCGTGTTTTTTTTTCCGGGAACTCCCACAGCCCTCCAAGGCCAAGACGGCCTTTCCACCCCATCTCTGCTGTTCGGGAGTGGGAGGATGACAGTGTGTTTGCCTGTCCTGCAGGAAAATGCCAACAACTAACACCCTAGAGGCGCACAACGGAGGCCTTGGGACATGGCAGGATGTGCTTTGGGGTTTCAGCTAAGGAATCCAGGAAGGATTCCCTTCCACTGCTTTTATTACTTCATACTGGCAGGCTCTGTTTCCTCTAAAAAAAAAATGCTATGGTGTAATTAGCTTATTAGTTATGCTAACCAGTGCCTGTGACCTTTTAATTTTTTGTAAATGGAAGTCTATAAGGAACTCCCTCCTTGCGTCCTCCCCAACCTCCACCACCTGTTAAGAATACATAATTTAAAGGAAGACCAAACTTTCAGCCAGTGATTTCGGCTCCCAAAGAGTGTGCTTTATTGACAGTTGTTTTGGGGGGAGAAGTGTGTGTGTGTGTGTGTGTGTATGTGGATGGTGATTTGTTTTCTGAATTCACTGGCTTTGTAACAGTGTATAGATGATTTAAATCACTAGCAGAAACGACTTGGCTTAATCTTTCATTACTAAGAGTCTTCTTGTGTGCTATAGTCAGAATGCATTTTAAATTTAGGGGGAAGGTTTTCTCTTTAAGAAAGCATACCTGTATCTAAGTTGGGAGATTCTCTGCTGGAGTAAGCAGTTAAATTGCTTTATATAACAGGTACTCTGTACTATTTTTGCAACTAACATATCCACACTTTAACAGGTTGTGTGTTTTTGAGTTGCCTACTATTTTGCTTATGACAATGTGGTGTGGAGCCTCCTTGTCCAGTAGAAATATTGTGTAAGCCACACATGTAATTTAAAATTCTCTGGTAGCCAAATGTAAGTGACTGGAAGCAGGTGAAATTTATCTTAATGATTTTTAACCTTATACATTCAAGGTGTTATTATTTCAGCATACCTTCATTTAAAAAAATAAGACTGAGATTTTACTGCCTTTAAAAAAAAACTATCTTTGAAATCCATTGTGTATTTTACATTTACTGTCTACCTCAATTTGGACACTGAATTTTCATCAGAAACACTTCTGCTACACTTAGATTCCATGAAATGTAGAGTTGAAAAAATATTCACTTTGTGAAGTTGTTTCAAATTAGGTTTTCCATTAACTGAACAGAGTCTCAGATTTTTAAACTTTGGTTTCAAATAATTAAAATTACATAAGATGAATAACTTAGTTCCTTGTTGTTCTAGCCCCTTCTCAAGTGCCCTGTAGCCACATGTGGCTAGTGGCTACTGTGTCAGACAGTACAAGTATGGAACTTTTCAAAACTCTGCTGGAAATGTAAAAGATCACAGCATCAGCTGTTGGAGATGTATAACACGAGAACTACCATATGCTGCTGATGGGTCTGCAAATTATACCCCTGGAAAATTGTTTGGTAGTATCTGAAAATGTTATATATGACCTTTGGCCAAGCAGTTTCAATGAGGCACGTGCATATGTGCACTGAAAGCATATATAAGAATTTACAAGAGTGTGTATCATTATTAGAGATAGCCCCAAAGTGGAAAGAACCCAAATGCCCAATAATAGCTGAATGAATGGGTAAGTATAATATGATGCCTTTTGCAATACAGACAGAAAATAAACCACCTGGTTGCACACTATATTGTGGATGAATTACAGACATAATGTTAAGTGAAAGAAGCCAGACTCAAAAGCAGTTTTACTGTATGATTTTATTTATCTGTAAGTCCAAACAGGCAAAATTACTACGGCCTGTTAGAAGTAAGGGCAGTGATTACCTTTGGGGGAGAAAACAGAGAATGTGAATTGTGAGGGAGTAGGAGGAGGACCTGAGTGGTAGTGATGTTATGTTTATTGACCTAGAAGATGGCTTCATAGGTATGTTCACTCTGTGATAGTTCATTGAACTATAAACTTATAATCTGTGGCTTTTCTGTGTATATATTAGACCTACGTTTAAAAGTTGTAAACAAATTCTTGCAGTCAGCTCATCTTGAGAACTTACATTCAGTATGCTCAGTATTCATGTTCCATTCAAAGATTAGAAAAGAAAGGCAAGTTTCTCTAGTTTAAAATTTATGGAATGTTTTATGTTTCGTACTAAATCAGCCCCCAAAAAGGGCTTGATAGAGTAAAAAAGGTTACAGGGTTTTGTTGTGTTTTTTTTGGCTTCAGAAATACTTGTGTTTAGATCCGAGCCCTGGTATGTACTTATTATGTGACCTTAGCCAAGTGTGGTAATCATTAATGCTATTCCCCAAATATTTCTATCTTATACCTTCCCCAGACAAGGTAGGATTGCATTCCTGGACTCATTATGGTTGGGTGGAGCCATGTGAATAATTTTGGTCTATAAATTGTGAGTAGGATTCAAAATAACTAATAGTATGTTAAAGACAACAGAAATATGTGTATGAAAGATAAAGAATTCAATAGATAGCTATCTATAAAAAAGAACCAAATGGGTATTTTAGAACTGCAAAATACAACATCTGAAGTTGAGAATTAGATGGATTAAAACAGACTAGACACAGATATATGGGGTACAGACAAAAGTTCTAAAATCTGTGAAATTTGAATCTCAGAAGAGGGAAGAGGGAGAAAAGGCAAGAGAAATATTTGAAGAAAAATGGTTGAGAAGTTTCCAAATTTGACAAGAAACTTTATAAGCAGTTCAGTAAGCCCAAAAGGATAAACACAAACACTCACAGGATAAACAAAACATACCAAAGTATGTTATAGTCAAGTTACTGAAAATAAAGATAAATATAAAAGCAGTTAGAGAACACAGGGTATTTTCCTTCAGAGGAGCTGTAATAAGACTGAAAGCTGATTTTTCAAAAAAAATTATTAAAACTAGAAGATAATGGAATAACATCTTTAAAGTGCTGAAAGGCGGTGGGTGGGAAGAGCTTACCTGGAATTCTTTACCCAATTGCAAATATCTTTAAGAATTGAAGACAAAAATCTAGATATTTTTATCTAAATAAATAAATAAAGGCAAAGGACTTTTATTGCCATCAGAATTGTACTACATGAAATACAGGGGAATTCTTTAGGCTAGAGGAAAATGTTGAGATGGAAGCATACCACTAAAGGAAGGAATGAAGACCCCTAAAAAGGGTAAATATATGAATAAATATAAAATAATATTGATTATTTCAAACCATAACAATAATGTTTTGTTGCATTTATAACATATGTAAAAGTAAAACATGGCAATAGCACAAAGTCAGGATGAGTAAGTAAAGTAAATGGTTTTATGGTCTGTGTATCTTTTTGGATGTGGTAAAAGTACTAATTTAAAGTTACTGAAAATCAACTTTGCACATTTCAGTCTCTTGGGTAGCCACTGAAAGGATAATGAAAGAAGCTAAAATTATAAAGCAATGGTGGAATAATGAAGAAATACTTGATTAATCCAAAAGAAAGTAAAAAGGAAGAATAAAATGACAGTGAATAAATGAAATGATTAGAAAGAAATTTAAAAATGGGACTTACCTTGCATTCAATGGACATATACATTTAAGTACTCCACTTAAAATTAAAATATTGTCAGACTAGATGAAACAAAACAATTACATGAGATACACATGAGATAAACCTTAAATAGAAGGATACGAAAAGGTGGAAATTAATAGGATGGGAAAAGATGCTCTACAAAGACTATCCAAAAGAAATCTGATATGGCAACATTGCTATGGGATGAGGTAGTCTTTAGGGCAAGGGGCATCATGAGAGATGGGGATATTGTGACAAAGAGGTCAATTCAACAGAAAACATGTAACATTCCTAAGGATGTATGACTCTAAAATCAGGTGTATACATGCACACAGAGCAAAAGGTGACAAAACTAAGAGGAGAGATATTTGGAGAGTTTGAATTTGAGTAAAAGTCTTAGTAGCTAATAAAATAAGGATAGAAAAATAAGGGTATAGATTGAGACAACACACTTCAGCACTTTGATTTAATTAATGTATGGCACTACATACAATGATGGAATATGCCATCTATCAGGATCACATGATGACAAGCAGCTAGACTTGGCCTCTGGTTATATTTGCCAACCCTTGGGTTAGGCCATAAAACAAGTAGCAACAAATATTAAGACTGAAATCAGACCATACATGTTCTTTAAACACTGTGGACTTGAACTAAGATTCAGTAGCAAATAACTAGAATATTTTCAAATACTTTGAAATTAGGCAATACATTTTTGTATAATGTATAGGTCAAGTAAGAATTCACAATGAAATTAGAAAATATTTTAGCTGAATTATAATGAAAGTACAAATATCAAAACTGAGATGCCCCTGCAACAGTGTTTAGAGGGAAATGTATTGCTTCACATGCCCGTGCCACAAAAGAACAGTTGGGAATTGGTGATCTTCAGGCTTCTGTTTCAAGATTCTAGAGGACTATAAGCAAATTAAGTCCAGAGGAAGTAGAAATAAGGAAATAAAGGTAAGAGAAAAGAAATGACAATAAAGGAAAAATACAGTCCAATATTTCTTATGAACATAGATGCAGAAATCCTAAAACAAAAATATTAGTAAACTGAGTCCAGTGAAACACTTAAAGAACAGAACATTGTGATTAAGTTGAATGTTACTGTGTTTAATCACTGTAAGTCAACCAATGTAATTCACTGTATCTACAGAATAAAGGAGAAAATCATATGACCTGTGTTAAAATCTCTGAGAAAACTAGGAAAAAAAGGAAACTTTCTCAATACATTAACAAGTATCTACAAAAATCTATTCCAACCATCATGACTGAAGATGAAATATTGAATGTTTTCCTGCTGAAGCAAAAGGTGACAAGGGTGTTCTCTGTCATCACTGCCATTCAACATTTTACTGAAGATCCTAGCTAATGCAGTGAGGAGAAAAAAAAGAAGATTGGAAAAATACAAGAAGCCTGTTGCTATTTGTAGATGACATGTTACAGTACATAGAAACTCCACAGGAATATTTGAACTATTAGAAATTATAAAGGAATTATCAAGATTGTTGAATATAAAATCACTATAAAAAGATCAATGATTACCATATATTTAGCAAAAAACAAATAGAAAACAAAAATTTAAAACAACCCCTTCATATAACAAAAAAAAAAAATCCCTGGAATAAATCCTGAAATACCTGAAAGATGATCAAGACCTCTGCACTGAAAATACAAAACATTTCTGGGAGTAAAAAAGACTTAAATACACGGAAAAATATTTTTGTGGATTGCAAAACTCAATATTGATAAGACTTCAGTTCCCTTCCGATTGAGCTCTAGATGCAATGCAGCTTCAGTTAAAATCTTGTGCAGTGGTTTTGGTGGAAATTGGTGAATGGCCAAGGCAGTAATATTGAAGAAAAATAACAAAGCTAGGGTATTTACAAGATATCAATTCTTACTATCATGCTGTGGTAATTAGGACAAGGTTACATTGGCCCAGAGATAGACACACAGAAACTGATTCTTACATTTACAGTTCCTTGATTTATTACAAAGCTGCAAAAAGATTCAATGGGGAAAAATCCTGTAAGTAGTCTAAGTCAGTTGCTTATCCATATGGAACAAAATGAACCCAGATGCCTATCATACATTGAAATTATAATCATATATCTAAAAGGGATCGTAGAAAATTTTCATGAACTTGAGGTAGGCAATGATTTCTTAAGTAAGACACAAAAAGAATAACCATAAAAGAAAAGACAAATTAGATTTAATTAAACTTTGTAAGTCCTACGTCACTTTGAACCTATGAGAGGTATTACCATGCATTCTTCTCCCTGGGAACACACAGTTGCTTCCTATGTCTTTTCATTCACCTCTTTTTAAATAACTGATTGCAGTTCTTCATTCTCACCCCTGCCCTCTCACTGGACAGATTTTCCAGCAGGAGCCCTAGCTCCCAGCTCAACAGTGACTCTAGGTTGCATTTGGAGAACAGCCTATGATCAACCCTAAACAAATGGAGAGAGTGGCTTACCCTCTTCTTTTCCTCACAAAGCCTGATTAACAGTCTGCACTCTCTGACTCTTTCCCCTTGCAAGGGTAATAGGTAGGCCATTGAAAATCTTGTATCAGTTCTTTGGCAGGTGCACGGGTGCATTTTTTCTTACAAAAATTTTAAGTTACTTTTCCTCTTCTATTTATTTTTAAGTGATTCCTCAATAAATTTTCTTAGTTTTATTAAGCTTAAGGCTTAATGCTAAGAAAATGTGTAGAGACTTATTTTAAATGTCTTAAAATATTAAATTACGAAGTGCTGGCTTTATAAATGGATTGCCAAATGGTGGAAGTCAACCAAGAAAACTTTTATTCATTCACTGTCTGGATGAGAAGTGAATTTTATTGTTTTGGGGCTTTGATAAAATCACTTTTAGAATGTGAGTAGAGGCTTAAAGGCATTCATTAGAAAATAATGATTAAAAGTAAATGTAAGGGAAGTATGTTTTTTACTCTGGAAACTTTGTCAAGATCAGTTAAGCTAACACAGTGTAAGCAAAGGAACAATGAAGAAAATGTTAGTGAAATGTAAACAATCAGGTTGGTTGAGAAGTCAGAAACTGGTTCATTATAAAGACCAGTGAAAGAGACAACTGTTTAGCAAAATGTGATGAAGAAAAAAGCAAAGAACAAATAGCATCAGGAATGAAGATGCAGCGTAACTGCAGTTATAAAAGAATATACCAGATTTTAAAGTCTATATAAAAGGACAATTTGAAGAAACTGTAAATGATCAAAATTGATCCAAGAAATAAAAGCCTTACATGACTGATAAACATAAAAGAAATTGAAATGCGACTCAGGAATTTTCTTCTGAAAAAACCACCAAGGTCAGGCAAATTCTACCAAGATTAGCTCTCATCTTATCTCAGATCATAGACAAATATTGAAAATTCCCATTTCACTTTATAAGGTTAATATATGTTAATACTACAGTCGGGTGAAGGTTGCTGTTTTGAATCCAGAAATATATGAGGTGAGGTGAAGAAGAGCTTATCCCAGGAAGATCAGAATAATTCAGTATTAGACAAATTTTACAATGTACTTCACTATAATAACAGATTGAAGGAAATATACTACGTATAACCTCTTAGATACTGAAAGAACATTGCATAAAATTCAGCATCCATTGTTCTGATGTCCTCATAGAAAAATAGGAAGAGGAGGGACTTACTAATTTGATAAATATTCTCTCAGAAATTTATAGTGGACATACTTCATGTTAAAACATTAGACGTGTTCTTTTTAAATTCAAAAAGAAAAATGTCCACTATTACCATTATTAATGCAATCTGAGAGTAAAAGGAGACACAAGATATAAATATTAGAATACAAGGGTCAAGGCTAATTGTGTGCATATAATATGATTGTTTAGAAGATTCAAGAGAATCAAGTGGGAGCAAGGTAGGAAATCTCCGTTCTCACGCAAATTTGCAGCAGGTGTATTTCCCAAGCTCCAAGTATAGTTCCAGCAGCATTTTTCTCCCAAGAGATCCAAAATCTCCAAAGGGGATTTCTATATTTCAAAATGCATTTAAACTGTGCAATTGGGGCCCTTTCCCCTAATCTTCAGTTGGAAATGATTAATTGGCTATTATATTTAGTAAATAATAATAATATGCTAAAGAGACAAGAGAAAAACCTAATAGAATTCTATAAATGACTTCCAAGCAATGAAATGCTCAATTTAAAATAACATGCTTGTGGACTGACATATTTCATAGTCCCTATGTTCATTCTCAAAGATGAAATATGAAAAATCTCATTACAGATCATAATCAACAGATGAACATACTCAATTGATTTTGATGATAGAGAACATTAACTTTGAACTTTAAGGAAAAGAATTCCTTTCTATTAGTATACCTGTATTACAAAAAAAGCTAAATTATTATTGTTGTATTTTTAATTTCATCAATACAAATTTTGTGAACATTTGTTTTCCCTCTTTTTATTATATAAGCACTTGCACAATATTCTTGAGTTTTCTTCTTGATCTGCAAAGCCTAAAATATTTCCTATTTGGCTTTTTACAGAATAAAGTCCCAATCTTTGCTCTAGCCAGTCAATGATTTTTGAGATTCTGATTCTATTATGTGACTCTCTACTCCTGCTGCTCCTTTCCTCTTTTCCTACTTTTCTCCAGGTCATACCTTCTCTATATTCCACATATGTAGCAATAACATGTTTAAAAGCACCTGCTCATAATGTATTGATGTAATAGTATCTTTTTGCATGAGTTCTTTTATGCACACTTGCTCAATTACCTACATAAGCTAAGAGGAGACATAGTAGCATTTGGAAAGTACCAAGTAGTTTGAGAGAGTCAAGATCAAGGATTTGGAGCAAACTGAAAATGGGTATTAGGTAGAGAGATGAGAACACATTTTAGGTCTTCAGAATATGTATTAATCAGTTAAAATGCATATTGTAGCTCCATTACAAAGATCCTACAATGAGGATAGGTAAAGTGAACTAGGTCTGGCAGTATGGTAAGTGGCTGTGATGTTTCTCCTTTCATGGGCTCTGGCTTTGTCCCTTTTCCAGTACCCAACCCAGTCTACAAATTCGTGTACTTCATGTCAATCAACAGAGTCACTCTGGGCTTCTGTGTAGCAGGACTTACATCATATAAGCATATGATCAATTCTCAAGATCTCTTCTGCTTGAGGACCCTAGGAAGGTTTTTTCCTTGTTTTCCCACTTAAGAGAACATATAGGTGCAATTATGGTCATCAGCCTGCATCCATGAAGTTGTATAGAAATATGTGTTACTTTTCTGTTAGTTTCTTAAGCATGAGTTTCCTTGTGTACTTTCAAGAAAGTTATTTTAAATCTTTTTTAATACCTAGTCATAGCGTTAAGGTGACTCAGCATTTACTCAGTTTATTATTGGAGATTGATTATGTTGTAGCTAATGTATACTAAGCAGTCTATTTTCTTGGTGCCTTCTGAAGTCTTGTTAATCCTCCTGCTGTTTTGCTGAGAGAAGCTATGTAGAATATACTTACCAAGCTACTAAATACTATATATGATTGGAGGAGGAAGTAATTTTTATTTTGCCTCTATGTTTATTTTCTAATTTAATATTTTTAATGATTTAACAATGATTTGTCTTTAAATGCAGTCATTTTTATTTCTATTCCTCATGTCTTTCAGCTCCTGGTGATAATTCGATATTACTACTACAAGCAGAATTATATTTAACCATGAAGAACTATGAGCAGGTGCTACATGACACCAATGCAGTTTGTCAGAATGAACCTCTCTTGGCTAAAGTATTTGTATTGATTGGCTTTGGAGATAATAAATGTAAGTGTATGGGATTTTCTTAAGAATAAAGTAAGAAAACTGTGTACATTTACCTCAAATTATGGTAGTCTAAATGTAGCAATCCACTTCATAATAAACCGCCTGAATTTAAAATCCAACTGGATTGAGACAAGTACTAATTTAGATTACTCTTAGTAGTTATTTAGGCCAATAATATGCTCTATGCACTACATATATAAGCAGAATGATAGAATTGTATAAATTTGTGAGTAAAGAGGAATGTTTAAAATTACAGTTTAAATAGGAAGATCACCTAGTAATCATGACTAACAGTTTGAGCCCTAGCGTGTATGGAACATATAAGTGGTGTTAATAAAGGGTGCATGTTTTATACATATTTTGAAATAATTTTAGTCTCTGTGTTGGAAAGGTCTAATATTTCTTCTGTTGACACAGAATGAGTGTCATAATGTTAACCTAATAATGATACCTTAAGTTGTCCCTGAAGAAAATGAAGAACCCAAAGTATAGAAGTTGTAGCTTTTTTTGCATAGATTTTTGAAATTTAAACCCCTGTAAGAGTTTTTAAACTCTTAAAGAACTTGTGATGAAATTAACACATAGCATGTTCAATTAGCTAGTAATTAAGATGAGTTTTTCCCTTGCTTTATTACTTTTTATCATCTTTGTTTTAGAAACATTGAAGATACATTAACGCAGATTAATCAAGAAGATGGATATAACCTACCCTTCCTTTCCCCGTCCCTCCCTCCCTCCCATCCAACTATCCATCCTTTACAACAAAATGTTTTCAGATTAGACTGAGTGTTAAGTTGGATTTGAGGATAAACCTAAGGATGGGAAGCAAATGTTTGTTGGACCAACTGCAGACATCTATTTTGTTGCATATTTACCTCACTAAAAACATTTTCTACTCCTCTTTCTGATACCTTTTCACCTATCCCTTGTTCTGTTGTTATTCTGAGGTAATTTCTGTTATAATAATTGAGCCTAATTGTTGTAAATTAGAAGTCTAGTATGTCTGACTCACAGTAGACCAGCATTGCCCACTGAAGTTAGATTCTTTTTCACAGTATTGATCTTTGAGCTAAAGTCTTGGCAGTGTGTGTCTGACAAAAGACACACAGATTTAATTATTACAAAATTACATGTATAATTGTAACTAAGAGGGGCAGCAAATGAAAACAACAGGCCAATATTTCTTATGAACATATTCAAGAATACTGAACAAAATAGTAACAGATCAAATTCAGAAACACATTAAAAGGATAATATATCATGATCAAGTAGGATTTATTCCTGGGATGCAGGGATGGTTCCACATCTGCAAATCAATCAGTGTAATAACCACATTAAAAGAATGAAGGATAAAATCATATGATCACCTCAGTAGATGCAGAAAAAGCATTTGACAAAATCAACATACTTTCATGATAAGAAAACTCTCAACAAATCAGGTATAGGAGCAATGTACTTCAGCATGAGAAAGACCATATGTAACAAACCCACAACTGGCATCATACTCAACATTGAGAAGCTAAAAGCCTTTCCTCTGAGATCAGGAACAAGATGAGGATGGTCACTCTGACCACTTCTGCTCAACATTATACTGGAAGTCTTAGTCACAGCAGTTAGGCAAGAAAAAGAAATAAGATGCATCCAATTGGAAAGGAAGAAGTAAAATTATCTGTTTGCAGGTGACATGGTTTTACATATAGAAAAGCCCAATGACTCCACCAAAAAAATTGTTAGAATCAACCAATGAATTCAGTAAAGTTCAAGGTACAAAATCATCATAAAAAAACCATTGCATTTCAATGCACTAACAATAAACTATCCAAAATAGAAACTAAGAATGTAGTGCCCTTTATAATAGCATCTAAATCACTACTTTGGAATAAATTTAACCAAGGAGGTGTAAGACCTGTACACTGAAAACTCTAAGATATAGATGAAAGAAATTGAAGACATAAATAAATGGAAAAATGTCCTTAGATTTGAAGAATTGATATTGTTAAAACTACCCAAAGCAGTCTACAGATTCTATGTTATCCCTATCAAAATTCCAATGGCATTCTTCACAGAAATAGAAGAAAATTATCCTAAAATTCATATTGAACCACAGAAGATCCCTTATAGTTAAATAATCTTGAGAAAGAAGAATAAAGCTGGAAGCATCACACGGTCTGATTTCAAACTATATTACAAAGCTATAGTAATAAAACAACATGGTACTGGTATAAAAACATTCTTATAGACCCCTGTAAAAGGATCGCTGGTCCAGAAACACACCTCTGCATATACGGTTAAGTAATCTTTGGCAAGGGTGCCAAGAACATACCATGTGGAAAGGACAGTTTCTTCAATAAATGGATACCACATGCAAAACAATGAAACTTGACCCCTATCTTACACCACTCACAAAAATTTAGTTGACATAGTTTAAAGACTTAAATGTAAAAACTAAAACTACAAAAACTCCTAGAAGAAAACATAGTGAAAGACTACTTAGCATTGGTCTTGGCAATAATTTTTGAATAAGATGCCAAAAGCATAGGCAACAAAAGTTAAACAAGTAGGACTATATCAAATTAAAAGTTTCTGCATGGCAAAGGACACAACGAATTGAAAAGGCAAACTATGGAATGGGATAAAATATGATAATGGGCTAATATCCTAAATATATAAAGAATTTACAAAGCTCAATGGCAAAAATCAAATAACATGATTAAAGGATGGACAAAGAACTCAAATAGACATTTTTCCAAAGAAGACATATAAATGAACAATAGATACATGAAAAGGTGCTTGAGATCACTAAATATCAGGGAACTGCAAATCAGAACCACAATGAGATAGCACTTTATACTGTTAGAATGACTACTATTGAAAAGCCAAGAGATAATCAATGTTGGTAAAGATAAGGAGAAAAGGAGACCCTTGTACTATATTGGTGAGAATGTAAATTGGTACAGTTATGGAAAACAGTATGCAGGTTCCTCAAAAAATTAAAAAATATAACTACCATAAGATCCAGTAATCCCACTTTTGGGTATGTATTTAAAGGAAATGAAATCTGTATCTTGAACTGATATCTGCACTTCCGTGTTCACTGCAGCATTATTCATACTAGCCAACCCTGGGAAAAAAACCTAAGTGTCCACGGATGGATGAATGGATGAAAAAAATATGATACACACACATACACATTGGAATATTATTCATCCTTAGAAGGAAATCATATCATTTACAACAACATGGGTGAACTTGGAAGGAACTGTCTAAGTGAAATAAGCCAGACAGAAAAGACAAATACTGTATGGCATCACTATATGTAGAATTAAATAAAAAGAAAAGCTGATTTCATTTCATAGAAACAGAACAAAATGGTGGTTGTCAGGGGGAAGAGGGGAAGGGGAAATAGGGGATGTAAGCAAAAGGGTACAAGCTTCCAGTTGTAGGGAGAGTTCAGTTCTGAGCAGCTAATGTGCAGTATGGTGACTATAGTAGTTAATACAGTATTGCCTACTTGAAATTTGCTAAGGGTAGATCTTAAGCATTCTCACCACACATAAAAAATGTTAACTGTGTGAGGTGCCGGATGTGTTAATTATCTTGATCATGGTAATCATTTCACAATGTGTATATATATCAAACATCGTGTTGGACACTTTATACTATATATACAGTTGTGTTTGTCAATGATTTCTCAGTAAATTTGGATTTAAAAAGAATTCCGCTAACAGCCGGAGGAGGTTAAAGTCTTAGTTTTGGGCTCTGTGACAGTATTTTTCCTTTTTAAGCCCCAGAGCATTTCAATCCTGAGACATTTCAGAAGATGAACAGGGTGAACTGTGCCATGCACATGACCCTTTGTAACTGCCAAGGTTACAGGTCAGCATATGTCAAGTAACTTAAAATTTTCTTGTCCATCATGTGATTAATTTGCCTGAATGAAGTGCTATAAAACTAATAAAACTCCTTTTTAAAAATCAATAAAACATGTAAATAGATAAGCAGTGTAACTAATCATACAATGGAACATTATTTAGTGATAGAAAAGAATAAAGTGTATTCAACAACCTGGGTGAATCTCAGAAGTGTCACATTAAGTGAAGGAAGGCACACAAATGCACCTATGATTTTATTTATATGAAATTCTCAAAACTATGGTGACAGATCAGTAGTTCCTGGACTTGGACAGAGGAGGGGATTGACTTCAAAGGGCATGAGAAAACTTTTGGGGTGATGGAAATGTGCTATATCAAGGTTGTGGTTGTAGATTTGCTAGGATAGTTTCTGTAGCAAAAGAAAAAAAGGAAAAAAAAACCCGAGTAGATTGCTCAGTTTCCAAGGTAGTAGAGCTAAAGCCATCCTTGGGGTTTTTTTGTTTATTCTACTTAGTATGAAAATAAAACAAATAGTTCTAATTTTTTTCAGGGCTGTTTGTATGCAAGCATATAATCACACTGTTTTTTCTAATGTGTATTTTGTCTTTTGATGAATGCAGGGACATCATGTGAAAGCGCAAGCTCTTTCTGGATTGGGAAGAAGTACGGAAGTGTTGAAGGAATTTCTCCATTGCCTTGCTTTAAATCCTGAATGTAACTCAGTGAAGAAAGAAGCACAGAAGGTGTGATTTCCTTCAGATGACTTTGTGCTTTAAGTCTTATTTACAGCCTTTGTGTCCATGCAGAGTAAATCTGGCATGTAAAATAAACAAGAAACATAATTCTCAATATTCATGACAGTGTGATTTAAAACACACAGTAATAATGATGAGTTGCATTTGATAACTTTCACCTGTGGATAAAGCAGAATGTTTCATGAGCCAGCATGCATATACCTCAGTTCTGCTGAAATAATGGCGTATTTGTGAGGCAGGGTTGATGTATGAGGCTCAGGAGGCAAAGCCATCATTTCAAGAATTATAATGTTTGTATAGCAACCCTATAATTTTTAACTGTGATATATGCAAAATATAACAGTTTAGCTACATAGGTTGACTTGAAATTTGCAGCAAAGTTTCACCAGCATGATGCAGAAATATCTGCTCCTTTATGCAAATCTTTAACCCAGTCTTATTAGAGATCACCAAGTCACACTTAACGTAGGAATCTACCCTATAAGAAAGCCTGTACAATAGTTACACAGTGTTAGCACTTCCAGTGACCGGGCGTTCTTGTTTTTATATCTGTATTTCCCAATTTTAACACTAGTGCCAACTTCTACTGTAAATTTACCCTGTAATTTCCACTTTATATTCTAGTTTTATTTTCTAAAGCAAGAGAAAATGAATCTTCTCCCTCCATCATTTTAAACCACCTTAGATATTTGAGAACAGCTGTTGCCTTTGCCTCCAGTTATCTTTGGACCAAACAACCTTTTCTCACAAACAGGGTGGTAAGGTTTCCTCTGGATGCAGTCTAGTGTACCCCATGGGTCAGCATCCAGTGGTGAACTTTTACATTGTGTTCACACTGTGAGGCGTGTTTATTTATTTTTAGCCCAGTACCATCACACTGTTGGCTCCTATTTGAACTGCAGTTGGCCAAAACACCTAGATCATTTTTTATTAATGAGAACTTTCTAGTAATATTTTTAATCTTTTTTTTTGGTACAGCTGACTGGTCTTGGATAATCCTGTTAGATTGTCATTCATTGGTTTTGGCCCTTGTTTCCACTTGTCAAAACACTATTGAATCCTGAGTCAGCTCTTTCAACTACCCCTGCCTGCTTTGTCCCACTTGCAAATTTCACAAGAATCTTAAAACATCTCTCACCTGATCCTTCCAACAGTATCATGAGAGATTCAGCCTGAGCTCAGAAGAGACTAAGCAGATGCACAAAGGCCCCAGGACCAGGGTTCAGGTCTCTTGGCTCCTTGTCGGTCCAGCACTCCCAGACATGGTGTTTTGCCTCCATCATTCTGTGGGTGGAGAGGTCCTCTATCACAGACAGTGCCAAACAATGCCAGCCTGTTGATGCCCACAGAACATGCTACCCTCCCTGGAAGCCTGCCTCTGCCCCCGCTGGTGAAACTTCTCAGAGCAAGTGCTGAGGACACGGAGGACACTGAGGTCCCTGAGGGGCTTTTCCTCATTACTACAGAGGTCACTGGTTCTCGTATACTCACCTGCCACACGGAGAACATGGGGGCCTTCTTCATTCGGGTCTCAGTCGCTCCTTTTGCCCTCTGATGCCCTTGGATTCACCTGAGTCCAGGAGGTTTGGCAGGACCATCAGGAGACGGGCGATCTCTTCCCACCACCACCACAAAAAAATGCTGGTCCAGGGCTCGTGAACCAGAATCATAGCCTTTCACCTTCTCTCTCTCTTTAAAGTTCTTAACCAGGTGTCTTTTCTGGTTCTTTTGTAAATTGGGCAGTCCTCTGGAAATATCTCAATCCTGTGGATGATCCCATATTAGTTTTAATATGGCATTCCCTGAAACCTCTACACCCACTTTTCTCTTAACCATGAGACTTTTAGGGGAAATTTTCTGTAGCAGAGGTGTAAGGATCAGACAGAAGAAATAGCAATGTGCGTATTTTATAATTGGTAAGGTGCAGATAGAAAGGGACTAGGAACTAAATGTTTAAAGTGTTGACTTCACTTTAAAAAAAAGTGTAGCTTCAGAAATGTATGGATTTTAAGATATTGGCAATTGGAATATGAAAATTACTCTTTTCAATGTTTTAGGCCTATTTGGCCTCATGATCTGTTCTGAATCTTTAAGGCATATTAGGTATTTTTCAAAAGTGTTTTAAAATAATTTTCTTCTTCTTGTCAATTTTATAGGTAATGTGTGAGGTGTCTTTCCCTGCTTCAGAAAATATGCATCCAAATTTGACACCTTCCATCCAAAGCAGAATGTCTAACTCCCGATTAAAGGCTCAGTGTCACACCCATATAAACAGCCAGCCTGCTCTGGATGAAGGTGGCAGTGCCAGCAGTTCTAAGGTATGAAGTGCTTGCCAGCATTATCTTGATTAAGCTTTAGGCAATGCCTTAATTTTGAACACTGACAAGTTATTCAGACTGTAGCATTACATTAGAAGTACTTCTCCAGACAGGTCTAGTTCCTCGACCTGGAAGCTGGAGCTTTTAAAGGAAGCTGGCAAAAGTATTGACAATGACTGAACCTTGAAAGAAACTTTTAGAACATCTCCAAGCAACCCAAAATATCAGGAGACTTTAAATCATTTTGGCATGAAAAAAAGAAAGCAGAGGGATATTTGAATATATGAAGTTCAATGGACCTGTCTCAGGAAGATGTTATCTTGTATTTTCCCATGAAAGGAATGAAGTTCATCTTAGAAGTTAACAGATGAAACAAATTATGAAGGAAGAGTACAAGCCTCCTTTTTTCTAAGAAAAAAATGTTTTTAAGATTTCTAAGAAACACTACTGTATTCATTTATATTTCTCTTCTGCTGTGATTTGTTTAATATTCAAAATTATTTTTTTCTCACCCAGAATCCATCTGAGAAATGTGATGTGTTTAGAAATGCCAGTTCTTCAGTTTTGTATTTTATACTGGGTTTACACTTGGAGGAAGACAAAGAAGTGTTAGAAAATATCCTTCCGATGGCACCCAGCACCCGTGTGAAGAGACAGCTTCCAAGTGATTTGGAAGATGCTCCTGACTTGAACGCCCCTGGAAAAATTCCCAAGAAAGGTCAGTGAGCTATTCTGTCATGGAGTTGTGTGACTCCAGAGTGATACAATGTCAGCTAATCAATATATTTTTTAAAAGTTTTACAGAGGTAGTTTAAAATTAATAATAAAATAAATAACTAGATCAACTCTAGATTATAGAACAGTTTGTTAAGCCTACAAGGACTTAATAGTAAAAAGCAGAAAAAGCTTAACTTTTATTTGTGCTAACTGCCTAAATGAATTATTGGATAGGAATTCTTCCTGCTCACTGTGATTTGTTACATTGTGTAGCACATTTTATCCAGAGGAAATACAGTTATTGTGTGCTCTTATCCAGATGTGCAAGTATTAATGACAGCAGAGGCAGATTCCTCACCTCAAAGGAACATGAACCCTAATGCAGAAAGTGCAGAGTTCTCAATAGATGTACCTGACTTTGAGTGTGCCCTTTGCATGAGGTAGGATGACATAGAATTTATGCAACTCTGAAAAAATTCAGCCTTTCTGCATTTTGTATCCAAATGTATGGACTTTGTATTATGAGAGAAATTATGTATACCTCAGTAATAATTGATTTCTTTTCTAAAAATTTGGTAAGGAAGATAAATGGAAATGGATATGTGATTTTGAGAACAGTAAGGGAATTGACTAAGGGACTCTTATTATAAAATAAAGAGATTACTTGAAAATTTTTCTCTTGTAGACAGTTTTTGCTGAAAATTCGAGCTATTTTTTCCAGGTTGCTCTTTGAGCCTGTCATGATACTGTGGACATACATTTGCCTAAAATGCCTTGAGCGCTGCCTCGACCATGCCCCACGTTGTCCCTGTGCAAGAAAAACTTTTCGAAGTAAATATTTCTTGCAAAATGACGAGGCAATTCAGCCCCGCTTTTCATCTCTCAGAAGGTGCTCATTTCATGGGTTGGCTTTGCCTCTATCACCCATTTGTTGAAGAAATTAGGGTTTCTTCTGTCAAAGACAGGCCTTTTCCCACCTCTCTAGATTCTCAAAGAAGTTGAGAGACAGAAGCAGCTAAATTTCAGGGAAATTTTCTGGCATGAATTTTAGCTGAGATATATACATAAATTTAACTTAAAAAAATTGAAGTATAGTTGATGTAAAGTATTATATTGATTTCAAGAACACAGCATAGTGATTTGGCAGTTATCTACATAATTAAATGCTCTCCCAACTAGTTACAACATAGAAAGATGTTACAGTATTACTGATTATATTCTCTCTGTTGTACTTTGATGCCTGTGACTAATTTATATTATGATTGAGATTTTGTGCCTCTTTATCCCCTTCACATATTCACCCACCCACCCCAGTAGTTGAGATATATTGAAAATAGCTGATATAACTGGAACTCTTATGTGTCAATAATAAATAGCTGAGATAACATTACTGAGTCCTTATCGTATGTTAACCACAGAGGGTTCAGTTGATGTTAGGTGCACTTAGCGTGTGTGCCAGGCGTTTCCCTTTGCCCCACTCTATGGTGGAGTCATATCAGGGTGCTCAGTTTTGCATAGGAGTGGAGATTTGACCCCTTCTGACTGCCAGGAAGCCCCTTTGGTGTGCCAGCAGTTGTGTCTTTTGTCTGAAATCAAAACCAGTAAAACTGAGGTCCCATGGGGGAAGCTTCTTATTGATGTCTGACCCAAATGTGAACTGTTACATCCATGCATTGGGTATGGTGAATGCAGTAAACAACATTTAAAAGCTGAAGGCTTTCTGATTAACTTTTCAAATAGTGAATCTGAATCAACTATATTGCTCTCTGGTTTGGTGGTCCCACTGACTTTCCACAAAGTAAGTTATTTAGCTTCTTAGGGAGGCAGGGATTTTTTTTTTCCATCCACAAAATGATACTAATGATATTTGCCTTAATTACTTATGTATTTTAAATAAGATGAAGTGTTTTTTAGGTGAAATTCATTTTTAAATCTAACATTGTAAAGTAGGTATTATATACTCAAGTGAATCTTTAAATAATTGTAACTTTTTAATTTACTGTTAAAACTTATTGAAATGAGTTACTATAATTGAAACCTTTCAAAAACATTATATGCACATACTTGATTTGTTAAATTGTATACATACTGGATCTTCCTACATTATCCAGGGTTCTCAGGAACATCAACCATCAGACTATATGCTCTGTGTCATGATGGATGCTTTTGAGTCTACATGGCTGTTCCCTTTCGTGGCTCCTGTAGGCCCTACTCCATGGTGTTTGCTGTCTCTGCTGGCTAACAGCGACGTAGCCTGGCCTACTGCCTTGTTTCACCCATGCTTGTCTGGGCCAATGAGCCTAGATGGCTCCCCTGATCTCAGAGAGTAAAATGCATGTCTTCATGACCACTGTTCGCAACACCCTTCACTCACTTTTGTATGCAGTGCTGTGTGATAAAGCCATGCCTGGAGGTGGGCACTAGAATATAAGCTCCTTGGGGACAGGGATGGCTTCTCTTATGTTTTCACTCTATTTGCAATGACTAGAATGCATCCTAGAGGTTCAGGAAACCTTGCTGAATGAACAAATGAATGAAGGAATGAATGATTAATGCAAGCTATACACAGAGGGCCAGTGTTCCCAAAATTAGAAAATAATACAATGAACTAAAATCCCAATTTATAATTTGATCTTTCTTTGATGGAGCAATTAGTTCATGAGCTGAGACTTCCTCACTTGCATTGTTATAAACATGATTTATCAATTACTTATATATCTACAGAAATCTTGGTTGATACAATGCTAAGTAGTGTGAATTTTATTGTATCACCCGTCAGTGAAAGGATACCATAAACTAATAGTATAAAATACCTCTGTCATTAATAATGAAGACTAGGAAGTAGGATTTTAAATTAAGTAGAACTTATTTCTGCTAGTTATTCTGTTACTGAGGTTCTCAAACACAGCAGTTCCCAGAGGTTGAGCTCCTAGGTCTCAGTCACTTACAGCAGTACATGTAGCTCGTTTCCCACAAGCTAAAGGGAAGCTTGGCAATCTGTCTGGGACTCACCCAGGCATAAGTGTGTCGGAAATGTGGAGAGCCAGGCATGCACATGCTACCAAAGGAACAGCAGCGTGTTGAAGCCTAGCAGGCCTGGTGTCCCGGCTATGCCTCAGTGACTTTGCACTGGTCCCCCAACCCTGCTGAAACCTAGTTCCTTCATCGGTGTGCTGTAGATCATTCCCGTTATGTTGTGCTGTCTTAAGGCCCAGCTTAACTTTTATAGAGCATCTGCAAGTGGTGTCTAATATATGAGGAAGTCAGAGAAAAAGAGCTGTTATTTGCAAATTCATATGCCTGAGATAAAAACTGCACGCAGAGTTAACAGACTTTCAGTTGCAAACGATCTAGCACTTTTAGTTCAGTTTCCACCAACTTCCCCTTCACATCCAGCTTTCATTCTTTGGTCCCTCACCCCCTTTCTCAATCCAAATAAAGTTAACTCTTTGCCTTTTGCCTGCGTCTGCATAGGTGACATAGCAAAGCTAGAGAAAACCCACAAAATTGGAAAGGTTGGTTTCAGTTTAAATTCACAGTCTGAAATCCTAAACTTAGAACACTGCTTAGTTATTTTTACTAGGCTTCTCTGGTAGCTTCAGGTTTTCACTTTCCAAGATGATTATTTCACATTTCTCTCCTCTCCCAATATAGCCTCCTCACTTCCACCCCCATCCCCGACATTAGGGTACTTGATTGGAAATGTAGAGGCTGTCAAGGCAGACCTGTCCCCTCTTTCCTACGATGAACACCATCTCCTGCCCTTTCCTCAGGGTTGGAGATGCCCTGTGCCCACCCCTACCCAAGGCTGCCCTCCGTGCTCTTGAGCCCCAGCCGGTGTCTTCTCAGAGACTTCATTCACCCTGGCCTCCAGTGTTGACCTTTCTGACCAGGAAGAGAGTTCTTTGTCTTGTAGATTTAGTTACCATATGGTTATTATTTAACATATTCTTTTGTTACAGCTGTTGGCAAGCAGAAATTTTAATATAACTATTCTGGCCAAAGAATTAATATTTCGATATTTGTCAGATGTACCATCTGATAGGAAGAGAGTTTACGATGAAGAAATGATGGAATTGTCAAAGTAAGTCCCCATGCTGTGTGCGCTTGGTCTTGAGTTCAGGTTAAGGAAGAAAAACCTTGTCAACCATGAAGCTTTATCTGTTTGTTCCCCTCCTTGGCAGAGAAATTTGAAAGCCTCAAAATAGAAAAAAATGTTCATTGCTAAGAATTTATGCAAATTAATTGAAAGAGGTTATCAAGTATTTCAAAAGTGTATTTGAACAAAATTATGTAGTTCTTTCTGGTATCTAAATAACTGATACTGAATTTTTCAGAATTGAAAAGGCATAGTGTAAAGAAACAGAAGGGAGAACAGGATTGCCACTCAAAATAGGCTGGACAGTTGTTTTTTGTTGTTTAAAGTGATTAAAGTTTTGTGTCGTAGTAGTCTTTGACTAGTGACATCTTATAGTTCCTTTCGTTTTTTTTTATTTAGGACACATTACCTTTGATTACGAAGTAGTTTTGCTTTTCATCAGAGTTTTTTCCTTATTTATTTATTAACATTGCAGTAAAATTGGCATATAATATTTTATTAGTTTCAGTTATATAATATAAAGATGTGATATTTGTGAATATAAGTCTAGTTAACATCTGTCACCACACAACTAAAAAAACTTTTTTCTTGTGATGAGAACTTTTAAGATCTGCTCTCTCAGCAACTTTCAAATATGCAGTATAATATTAGTAATTATAGTCACCATTCTGTACATTACACCCCAGGACTTTTACAACTGAAGTTTGTACCTTTTGACCCTCTTTACTCATTTCAACCCATCCCCCACTCCACCTCTGGCAACCATCAATCTTATTTCTGTGTCCGTGAGGTTGGTTTTGCTTTTTTTTTTTAAATTCCGCACATAAATGAGATGATAAAATATTTGTCTTTCTCTGACTGACTTATTTCACTTCACCTAATACCCTCGAGGGCATCAGAACTTTTCTAATAGTGATCATGAACTATAGCCTTTTCTAAGTAAACTAATGTAATTTGTTGTATTCTCTTTCATCAGTTAAGTAAGACAGGCTGGGCAGGAAACCCAGGTGAGCTGAGAACATTCTCAGGCTGTGGTCCTTGGCTTTCTTTCCCCACTCAAGACAAAGGCAGGCCTGAAGTTTTTATTTTGTAAATGAGAAAATTGAGGTTGGCTTACATTTGCTATTTCCAGTGACTCGTACTCCCCTCTGTTTCTAACACCTGCATCCCTGTTAACATTTTCCTCTGCCCTGCAGCCTGACCAGAGACGTCCCCATCTTTGTGTGTGCCATGGCCTTCCCCACCATCCCATGTCCACTCCATGTCTTTGAGCCCCGCTATTGGCTTATGATAAGAAGATGCATGGAAACTGGCACCGAGCGGTTTGGCATGTGTTTATCTGCTGAGCATGCAGGGTAAGATTTATCAGCATTCAAAAGGTCTTACTTAAATGCAAAAATTTGTCATTTTCTTGAAGAATAATTTAAGATGTGACTCCCATTAGATAAAGTATAAATTAATGGCCATCCATGATGTGATCCCAGCCTTCTTTCTAGCCTCACTGCTTACTCCTTTTTTTCAGACATCATCCTTGCTAGTCTACTATCATATCATCAGTTAATGTTTTCTAAATATAGTTTATACTTCCTTCCAAATACCTCCATGATTCCCTCTGCCAGCAGTTCTTTTCTAGCTCATCAATATACAGACAAATCCACTCTAACTTCTAAGGTTTAAAAACATTGCTACGTCTTCCATGAAGCCTTTCTCTATGCACAGCCAGAAAAACCCATGGCACTTGATTTTTACCTCTCCTTGCTTTACATGATTTGTCTGGGGAAGATGTTGCAAACCATCAGGCAGCTCCTCTCCATGGGCTGCTCTGGGGACTCTGGGTGCTTCCCATGTCTTGGCTTCCTGATCCCCTCAGGCTTTGTCATTACCATGTGGTCATGATAAGGTCCCTGTATCCAATTTCTAGCTGGTGGAGAAAAGGGGCACACATTACTATAGATCACACCTACTTCAAAGGAGGCTGGTAGAATCTAGTGATGGCTGTTTAGGGCCACCCACTAGATTCTACCATAAATACTATATATTCCATAAAAAGGAAAATGTTTTTTAAAAGTTATGTGTAGGACCTTTATGGGAAAACTACAAACTCATTGAAAGATATTCAAGAAGATCTAAATAAATGGAGAGAAATACCATGTTCATGGATGCATAGGCTCAATGTCATAGAGATGTCTGTTTTATTCAAATCAGTTTATCAATCCAAAGTAGTCACAGTCAACATCCCAAGAGGGTTTTAAATGGAATCGCTCAAGCTGGCTTTAGAATCACTATGGAAAAGTAAAAAACCAAGACCATGATAGTTTAAAAGAATCCAGCTGAGCAAGATGGGAGACCATCCCTATAATAAACTTAACAAGTCATAGTATGTAGACCATTGGAATAGAATGCAGAGATGAAAACATCCACTCATATATGGATTCCAAATTTATAAATATTTTTGAGAAAAGGCAAACTGCTCAATAAAAGGTGCTCAGAAAATTAGTGGGTAATCCAAACAGGAAAAAAAAGAAAAAACTCTGCCTTACACCATACACACAAATTAACACATTTACATTTCCAGTGTGAAATGTGAAAAAATATAAAAATGTCAAAGAGAAAATACTGGGGACTATCTTTACAATTAGAAGTGGGGAAAGATTCTTTTTTTTAACACAAAAATGCTGAGAGCACGTAGCATAAAGGAGGACACTGTTTTGTTTGTATTTCTTATCCTTTAAGCTCCTGGCTTTAATCTAGGGAAAAAGAAGGACCTCCTATGTTTTTAAAATCACAGTCATTTCCCCTGACTGTCCTGTCAGGATTTCAGAGTGTGGCTGCATGCTGGAGATTAAGGACGTCAGAACGTTTCCTGATGGAGGCTCAGTTGTGGACACAATTGGAATTAGTCAGTTCTGAGTTTTAAGCCACCGTCACAGGGATGGCTATAACACAGTGGACATTCAATATCTTGAAGATGAAAAGGTGAGGTTTATTTTACTGGTGTGTGTTTAGAGGTCAGGTGCCTTGTTTCCCTCTGTGTTTTGGAAACACTTGGTCAGAGTCTTTTGGCTATATTACTTATTTCCTCCTTAATTTATCACTTAAAATTTATTTTATAATCTCAGTGGATTTTTAACTGAGTTGAAGCAGTGGAAAAATACTGTCCTCCTGTAAAGATTGCCTTTCACTGCACATTGCGAAACACGTTTTGTGATTTGTTGTTTTGATGTTCTAGCCCAGGAATTGGCAGGCTTTTTTTGTGAGTGTCCTACGCAAATAGTGTACTTTAGACTTTCCAGGTCATATAGTTGCTATCACAACTACTCAGCTCTGCTGTTATCACCCAGAATTATTTATGTGTCTGAAAGAAATATCTGAACTCTTATTTTGACATATTAATCAAATGCTTTGAAGGGAGTGTCAAAAAGACTTGTACAATGATGTCCACAGCAGTCTTTCTCTTTAATAGCCAAGAACAAAAACAGCCCACATGCTCATCAACAATAAATGAATGAACAGATAAATGGAGTTCATTCATATGATGGAATATTACTTGGCAGTGAAAAGGAAAGAACTGATGCCTATACAACCTGGATGAATTGCATAGATGTTATGCTAAGCCAGAGAAGGCAGACACACACAGCATGCACTGTGTGACCCCATTTATGTACTTGGTCAGAGAGTGGTTGCAGAGTGGGAGAGTGGTGACTGGAAAGAGGGAGGAAGAGGCCTAAGTGATGGAGTGTTCTCCATCCTGTTTAGGATGGTGGTTACTCTGGAGTGGAGTTGACAAAACTCAGCCAGCAATTCAGATCTTTTTATTTTTTTGTATGTAATTTATGCTGCAATAGAAACATCAAAATATTTAGAAGGAGGAAGTCCTCAGAATTATTGTATTCCTCTTGAATTTTCTGGGTCACATTTAGAAATGGGGAAAGTGAGAGTCTTCAGCTATCTCACATGATACTAGGAGTCATTTTGAGAACAATGATGTACATTTGCGTCAGCTGTGAATAGAGGCACATCCACAGTGCCAGCTGTGTCCCTGTGTCAGCTGCTGTTCCCGGTCATCTGTGAGCACAGGGCCTCGCAGTGCAGAGGAGCAGAGCTCAGCAAGATGAGCTCCAAGATCCCGGGTTTAAAGGATGAGACCAAACGTATTCCTCGGGGTCCCTCTGCTGCAGTGATCACAGATCTGATGGGAGGGTTTACTGACTGTTGTGGGTGGTGGCTTTTAGGAGTGTAACTTTTTTTTTTAATGGGAACTCAAATAGCTACAACATGAAATAATTTTAATTTTAATTTAAAGAAAACCTTCTGCATAAGAGTATTTGATTCCTTGGAATCAAATTGAGAATGGGTATATGCATTGTACCTAATTTCTCAGTTCACTCTAGTTTTCAGAGATACTGGCATTTTATAACTAGAAAGGCTCTGAATGGCTTACCCCATTTTTACAGATGAGAAAACTCTGCCCTTAGGAAGCTGAACTACTGGCTGTAATTTGTACACGGGAGTCAGTGATGAAGCCAGAGCAAACCTGGGTCCCCTGGTCCCCAGCCCAGTACGTTTCCCAGCCAGGCATTCCTAAGCAGAACTGGGACATACTTAAAACAAGTGACCTAACAGTGGATAGGTACCCAGAAGCTAAGCAGGGTGAATCTGAACTGCCAGTGCCTGCCACCCATGTAAGGCCTATGCAGCCTGTGCACTGTGGCTGTAACCTGGCCTTTGAAATGCAGTTTGATGATGTTGAATACAATTTTTAAAATGTCTAACACTTCACCTTGGTAATTCTACTTCCAGGAAACTGTCTTGAAGAGATGACACCCCTTTCTCTTACCAAAAAATACAATGAAAATTAACAAACCCAAACACATTTGCATTTTTAATATTAACATTATTGTTTTTTAAAACTTTATTTTATGTGAAGGATTGAGTTAATTATGGTATATCTCAAATATTGCATGTAGCCATCGAAAATTATTCATAACTACATGGTTTGTGTGCTTATACTGTTAAGAGAAAAATCAGGATGTTATAGACAAGACAGGGTAGCTAGATCACTATGCAAGAAGCATGGATTCCTGTGTTGAGCATATATCATGTTTATAAAACACTAATGACTCATCAAGGGAATTGATGCCATGAATCTGCTTAGTGGATGTGGGGGAGGTAACTGTTTTTCATGTACTATAATGAATTGTTAAAAAGGTCACCGCTTTTTCCTTGATCAGATGGAAGGTCCAGAGTATGAAGAACTGACCACTCTTCATGACTCAGTTTATCCGCAGTCTGTCTCCTGGTTCACATCACTTCAGGATCACATGAAAGAACAGATTTTAAGCCATTTTGGGTTAATGCCAGATAGGGAACCTGAGCCTCCGGTATATTCTCCTTTTTTCTCTTCCAACACTATATTATTGCTTGCTAAGACACATTATTCTAAAGGAAAATTAGGCAGTTCTATGCTACATGGAGCCAGTATAATTGCTTATGATCCATTCATTTATGAATAGCCCAGAGAAGCACAGTATAGTAGCATGTGCCTTTTGGGACAAAACAGTAAATGTTTTCTGATTAATACCACATAAAGGCTATTTATTTTCTATCAAAAGTCAGTTTATTCTGTCATCTTTTGTACTTTCATTCCTCTCACCATCATTGTAAGATTTAGGTGGTAATGTTTACTGTATTGGCCTGAGCTCTGCATGCTTTGCACACACTATGGCCTTGACCCAGCACACGGGTGTTAATAGTGATGAGAAAAGTCCCCTGGCTCTCCTTACTCCCTGCCCCCAGTCCAGCCCTGCTGGCTTTCTCTGGTGCTCCCCACGAGTGCTATGAGGGATTCGGTTCCTTAGGCAATGACTGGGCTTCAGGTCTGTGATGCTTTCCTAAGTGCAAATGATCCTCCTCCCCTGTGTCTGGGTGACCGAGCCCGGCAGGGGGGGATCAGGCTTGTGACTGGGAGTGTGTAGTTCCTCCTCCTGCACGTGCCCACCTGCCTTAGAGAAAGGGACAGGACCAGCCCTCAGCAGATTAGGGCAAGAAGAAATGTCTTCTGTGCCTTTTCCAACCATTTTTATGCTTCTTTTTCTTGTCTCTTAGGGGCTTCTGTCTTGTACCCCCTGACTTTTCCAAACTCAGGATGGTGCTTTGGGCCAAAAACTGCTCTTCCTCACCCTCCGCTCTCCTACAGCCCCTCCTCCTACTCCGCCCTGCCTCTCAGATTCAGAAAGTAAGGTGATTGACTCGAATTAAGGCATGAATCAATCTTTTATTCTAGGGATTTCTGCTTATTACTCAAATTAACCTCTAACTGGGAGATATATTAATTTTCTACTACTGCTGTAAGATAGCACACAAATGTAGTAGCTTAGAATGATAGAAGTTCTCAGAGTTCTGGAGGTGAGATGTCCCCACCAGGCCTCACTCCGCTTTGACCAAGGTGAGGGCAGGACCTTAGTCCTTTCTGGAGGTTCCACAGGGGAGTCTGTTTTCTCGCCTTTTTTAGCTTCTAAAGGCTGCTGGCATTCCCTGGCTCTTGCCCCTTCCTCATCTCCCAAGCCAGAGCATTGCATCTCTCCTAAAGACCGTTCTCCTAGTCATGTTTTCCTCTGACCACAGTGCAGGAAACTTCTCTGCTTGAAGGGCCTTGGTGATGAGGTTGAGCCCATTGGGAAAATCCAGCATAATCTCCCCACCTCAGGGTCCTTAATCACCTCAGCAAAGTCCCTTTGGCCATGTGGGCACCATGTTCACAGGCGTCATTGGTTAGGGGATAGACACCTTTGGGACACCACATGTCTTCCTGCCACAGGATTTTAGGTAGTATATGGGAGATGTTTTCATGCCAAGTCCCTTCTCCCTAAGCTTGATATTCAGCTTTTTCCCACTGTGTAAGATGAGCAGGTAAAGGAGAGTTTTCTCCAACATTTTTGCCTTCTTCCTTGGGAGAGAAGTTGGTACCTTGCTCACAGTGACTTGGGCTGCCCTGTGCCTTGGGTGGTACTGTTACCTCTGATCTTTCAGCGAAACCTTCCTCACCCTAAGCTAAGGTGACTCCAGAGTCCGCTATCTCCAGTTCCCAGCTGGGATTCTGCCTACCTTCAGCATGGGAGTGGAGGGGAATCCAAGACACCGGCAGCAAGGAAGCCTGGATATCTTGGCTGCAGGACCAGGAATATGGACAGCTTTATGATCAGCTTTTGCCTATAGCTCAATCCACAGGTGCCTTTTTGGTTAAGTATTTTGTGTTGGTTTCAGCCAATGGCTAGTGAAGCTCTCAGCCAAAAATGCCTGGGGGCCCTGGTGAGCTTCCCACAGACATCTCCCCTATCCAAATCTCAGTTACCACTGGACCAATCCTTGTGGTTCTTACTGTGATTGCAGGACACCCTTCAGCAACAACCATCGACAACTTTGAAGAAAACAGGTTTATTATATACAAGACCTGGAAATTCCACAGCACACCTGGGGCTGTACCCAAAGTCATGGGTAGAGAGTGTGCATGGGCTGGGGATTCTGCTTTTATTGAGGTCCAGAGTAGGATTCTAGGGGTTCACTCTTTATTTGTGAATTTAAAACGAGAGTTGGAATTTAAAGCACTGGAAGAGAAAAAAAACAAGTGGCTCTGATGGACAGCTACCAAAGTTACCAAAATCAACCAAGATCGTCAAAACAAAGGAGCAGTCAGTCCGGGAGGTGACCTGGCTCTTTATCTAGACCTGTGGCTGGCAGTGTGTTTATTCAGCATAACAGCTTTGAAATGGATGCCTTGGTAATCAAAGCTTAAGTCAGGCATTTGTATCACAAAAGAGAAGAAAACCACAACTGTTAGGGCTTACATGCCATTATGTGAAATAAAGGCTGTCAGCACAGTAATTCTTATACATGTAATTTGTAGTAACCCCATATATATACAATTAACACTGGCATGTAGATGTTCCATATATATATATATATATATACACACACACACACACCTTTGTCACATTCACTTTAATACAAGATTTATTTTATTATAACACTCAAACTAAGCAGGTGAATCTACTTAATATTATGCTTATATCATGTATTTAAAACGTAACAGCCTGGAACATTGGAAAGGACAAGTAACAATTACAGCTCCCTCTTCTGGCCAGGCTATACTCTTCACTAGGGCTTAGAACAGAAGCAACTAATTCATAGAATGTCCCTTGTGGAAGATACTTCTCTTTGCAAGTTCTTCCTTTTGTGAGTTCTCCCATACTTCCCTGTGTAACGTAAAAGTACACTTTGTATTTTAAGGTCTGGATAAATTTGCAAGTAGACCTAAAATAGGAGGTGGCATTTAATTCTTGCTCACATGTCTGGTGGTGGAACAAAAGACAACACTGAGAGAACAGGCTTGTATTTTAGGCTAAATGTTGTATTTTTCTTTCATTTCTTTTGCAGAGTAATGCTAGTGGTCCTGCTTGGTCCTGGTGGGTCCTGGCAGTGTTGCCACTGGAACGCAAGGCTCAGCTGGCCATCCTTGGCATGACCTCGCTTAGAGAGCGTCTCCTTGCCATTTGGTGAATATTAGTCATCATCACACATAAGATGAATAGTCGGCAAGAGCTGGGTGATAGCAGGGCAAGAAATAATTGATTTTCTTTCTCTGCCAAGGTTTCTGGGGGCCCTTGTACTTTTATGAGGAGTGCCAGACTGGACAATTAACGTCCCATTCATCACGCTTTGCAAAATGCTTGTTGATAGGGTTGCAAAATGGAGCACTGAGCAAACACTGCTTCCTACTCCAAAGTTTAAAAGTCTGTGCCTGGTGGAATCTGCCTCTATACAAAGTTGGCCTGAAGTTTACGTGGAGCCCATGGTCAGAAAACAACCTGAGAAAAATCTCCTTGAAGCAGATGCTTCTCGTGTGCAGTTTACTGACAACACGTATGGTTGACACATGGTTTAGGTTTTGTAAGAAGGAAGAAATCCCTTCCCAGTATGGGAACAGCATGCTTCAGCAGCTAGACAGGAAGGGGGCAATCATGTTGTTATCAGGAAGCAGATTTCTCAGAGCACAGGCTACCTGAAACTGGGCTTAGGGTTTGTGTGTCACTGTGAATTTTTCTGTGAAACTGAGGACTCAAACCGTTGTCCAGTTCAGAAGCCAAATCAGTTCTTACCCAAGAAGTAGTAGCTACTGCATAGAACTGTGTTTTGTATCCTGTGGTAATTTGGGTATCTTAAGTTGCATGTTGTAATAAAATGAATATAAAAATACGAAAAGGTGTAACTTGAGTACAGAAAAATCTGAGAATAGTTTAGTTCATTTGAGCGTATATATACACAAAGAATGAACAAAAGTGAACTAAAACAGCATGATCCTGTGTCTTTTAATGCAATGGACACTGAACATTTAGGAAATAGTCATCTTTCTACTAGGATTTGCATTAAAAATTAGGCCCACCAAGTAAATTTGCATTCACCATCTATCCATTTATATCTGAAGACATTATAAAGCTGCTATGAAATGGAAATCTACCTATTGCAGGAAAATATATGAGGAGAAAACATGTAAGGAGAGAACAGTTTGTATGGGATGTAAGTACTCAGCAAGTTTTTCTACAACCCTAACCTAAAAATTGTCTTTAGTGTTTTTAGGGGGTAAGGGAAAGAGGTGTTTCAATGATCAGAACAGGTGTTATCTATTAAAGAAGAATATGAAGAATATGTATAACTTCCAGACTCTAAAGCATGTTGGTTATATTTCCTGGAATAACCATTCGGACCTGTGCTGCTGAGCGGCTCTCATTTGCTGACCCAGCTGATGCCTTCGGTTGGCATCTTGGTCTCTGAAGCGGAGCCTCTTCACTGAAGGATGATGAGAACCAGACTAGGGAGTGAACCGCAGCTGTAAGGTTTGCTGTATTCACTCAAGGTGTGTGATGTTTGAGTTTAAAAAACATATATTTCAAAATACCAAGTGGTGGCTTATCAATCCATCAAGCATTTTATTAGACTTTATAATAGAATTTCTTCTTAATTGTAGGGGTTTTCCATAGCTAAAACTCAGTTTCACCATAGAGTGAGAAAATACTGTTCTTAGTTATAAGTTACAAAGAGAAAACTTGGTTGGAAAAATATTTTCCAGTCAGATGTTGCCAGCGCTTCACTTATGGTGAATCTCAAATCTCATCTTGAACGTGGGTTAAAGACAGTTGGGCCAAATGATTTATAAATTATTTTATTAATTCAAGCATTAGCAATAGCCTTTAACATTCTTTGGCATTACTAACCTGCTCATCTGAAAGCGAGCAAAGCTGCATTTAGTTTGCCAGATCTTTATTAGAAAAGGGTCATGAAAGTGGGTTTGCACTGATTATTCCCTGTCTCTTTTAGAAAATCTTCTCCTACCTTAAAGTCAAATCATTGCTGTTTGAATTTGGGAGTGTCTATCTAACCATGTGATCATAGTTTCCCTAGGAGCCTTCCTGAAGTTTCTGTGCTGAGAGTATTAGAGCTTTCTCCATAACAACTGGATGCTGCTCTCAACCTCCCTCAGCAAATGTCGTAAGTGGTATAGTTTAACTGGTATAGTTGTTTAAGCAGAACCATTAAGCTTTCTCTTTCTGGTTGTGCCTGCCTCTGTCTGAGTCGTCATCTCTTTGGGAGTGCTCTTACATAAAAACCTGTTAAACAGTAATGGCACAGCCTAGAGCAACAAAAGCTTTGGTTGGTTTGTTTTTTGGCCCCAAAAGGAAATGACCACCATCAGGTCATACCTTGTCCTGCATCATACCCCGCGTAGTGCAGAGTGGGAGTAGCTGGGTACTTCCTGGGCACTTAGTGACATTGTTTGTCAGGAAGTTGAACCAAAGAAAGTATACCCCAAGTCCTATTATGAGGAAGTGTCCTTTTATAAGTTAATGAAAGAAAGAAACCCAAACTCCAGTTTGCTACAAATCCAGCTAAAGCAGAACAATCCCCTCCCCCTCTGCCTGCCCCTCTTTTTAAGGATTTCTCAGAAAGTACCACAATCTCTTGGGCAAAGTAAGAGCATTCCAGTTCCATGTTTCTGAAAATGTTCTGACACCGATGCTCTCGTTATGTTAGAATAAAAACCAGTCTACTTAGGGGAGTAGCAGTGTGGGGGAGTGACTGCTCTGTAAGCACAGGACTTGACGTGCAGTGCACTCTGTTAGGTGTTTTTCCATCCACTCCCTCGAGTGGCTTGACTCAGTTCCCTCCCTGCCTACATCTTTGAAATGCAGCTGACATCCTGACCGGCAGTATTCTGAAAGTCTGTGAGATATATAGAGCATCACATCCCATATGTTGTCCCTGTCTTCAGAATCGAAAGAATATCTTCTAAAGTGCCATATGGAAACAGTTTAAAATTTTAAGGATTATCCAGGCAACCACAGTAAGTTTTAACTAATTCATGTGCCAAATTTTGGAGTGCAGTCGCATTTCAAAGCAGAAATGTCCTTTCTTCTTTTAACTGTCGCCCTGCCCAGACGAAAACAAAAACTGTTTAATAACTTGTATCTAGACCCTTAACATCATCAGTGAACAAAGTTATACCACGAACTCTGATATTATCATGTGTCATAGGATTATTTGAAAATTGGCAGTTGTTAACAATAAAAAATGTACCACCATCTGACCTCAGCTGTATTATATAGGCGTCATTAGGATTTTTAAGTTGCTTTCAGAAGTACTCCTCTGTTTCTTCTGCTTCCTTTCTTTTTTTGTGTTTTCTCCCACCACTTAAATTACTTTGGTGAATACCACTCTTTATACTGTCAATCAAATAAGACAGAAATGTCTGAAAGATAGGAAGAAGATAGTAGTGTGTTAGGGGGAAAATAAATGTAGGTGACTGCTTTATTTTTTATTTTGGTATCATTAATCTACAATTACATGAAGGACATTATGTTTACTAGGCTCCCCCCTTCACCAAGTCCCCCCAACATCCCCATTCACAGTCACTGTCCATCAAAATAGTAAGATGCTGTAAAATCACTACTTGTCAGTAGGTGACTGCTTTTGTTTAATGAGTTTTATTTTTCCCTGGCATGCCTGTGGAGTAGAGGTTCCCCTCCCCTTTTTAACATGGATAACGGTGGTAGACTGCAGAAAGAAGCTCTTCTCCTTTAGCACCATCCTTACAAAAGGCCCTGTTATGGCCCACTAAAACCAAATTCCCAGGGAAGCCAGAACTGAATGGGTAGTGTGGCTGTGCCAGCCACACACAAGGGGAAAATGGAACCCTGAATATTGCCAAATATCACCTCCTCTCTACTAGGGCTAGATACTTAATTCTGAGCCATTGGCTGCTGACTCCTAGGAGAAGGTGTTTTCACCTTTTCAGCTCCTTACCTTAACCTCACATTAACTTTCACCTCTCAGCTGCTAAAGCAGTTACCCAAATCTGCAGACTGTAGCAGTGGGTCTGCTTTAGATGAATTAGAGTATTGCCATAGCATACACTCATGAAGAAATTGAAGTGCCACCATTGTACTTGGCCAAGCTGGGGACATGATTAACTCTGATTTGTACCTGGATCTTAATTTAAAAAGGTGACTGAGTGATAACACAGAGAGGTCAGTGCCATTGAAAGAAAAGTTTTTTGCTATTCATGGTTCTGCTAGAAATGAGAGGCATGCCACACAGGGCCACAGGGAGCAGCAGCGGAGCTGGGAGCAGAAGCAGGAGCGAGGGGAGAGCATGGGGAAGAGCCTTCTGTGTTCCTGCGGGAAAGGCCGGGCAAGGCAGTGGGGGCAGCTTGGGTCTGGCTAGTGTGGGTAAGGTGGGTGGGCTCTGGACTGTAGGGGTGGTCTGCAGTTGTCTCGTGCTGACCCTGGGCGATTAGGCAGAGGCATACTGGTTCCTGGAGTGTCAGAGCCAGGCAGAGGGGGCGCCCAGAGTGTGGGCTCTGAGCTGGTTGTCCTGTGAAAGTCCTGCTGCCTGGGAGGCCCTTTGCGATCTCTAAGATAGGCTAGCAGGGCAGGGGAAGTCTCTCCCCAGTCAGGGAGACTTCCAAGATATCAAAATGTCATAAAATATTAAAAAGAAATGCATGGTATTAGCTCATTCTAGCACTTCTGGCCCCAGCCTCTGTAAGAGATTGGTGCTCTCCACTTGAGTAGGGATTTCTCTGCAGAGGGGTGGGCTGGGCTTGTGAGCACAGGCAGATATGTGTAGCTGAGGCACAGCTCTGCAGAGCAGGGGGCTCCCTCAGCATATGACTGCCCCCAGGGAGAAAGATCAGATGTGATAATAACGGGATACACTGAGGAAGTTTGCCTACATCATGTGGCTCAGTTGGCATATGTGGCCCTTAACAAAAGCGGGTTTGCAGCATTGATTAGCTCTGACCTTTTACTTGCAGGGGTCATTTTAAATCATTGTTTGGGGATCTTTGCTATTCACGCTCCTCTTTTAACTTGAATGGTTTGGTGGAGTTTAGCACTATTAACAGTGTGATCAGTGACTGGTCTGACTCACATTGGCCCCACCCACCCACTTTCCCACCCCCATACTAACAGTTTTCCACCAAACTCTGAGAAAAAATGATAATAGATGGGTTGAAAGCTCTATTTATATATTGCTCTTTCATGCTAATAGAGGATGGTGTTGTTAGCATCTTAATTTTATAGTTGTGAGATGATTTTACCAGTTAAGGATTTGATACATATTTTTTTCTTATTTAATTAGAAGAGCAAGTTTGAACAAATAAGTCAATGTAGATAAAAATCATGCCTGTCTAGAGAAAGATAGGCAATGTGTTTTCATATTCATATAATGTAGATTATTCCTCTGGCCTTCCTTTTTTACTGAGGTTCAAGTCAGTATTAAAGGTGTAATAACAATATCCGGCATTTCTCAGTTGTTCAGGTGAGGCGAGGCTTAAATGTTGCAGTATTTACTTCATGTATTCTTGTACTGTTCATTTGCATTCATTGCAGTTGTGTATATGGATCATATTTGGAGTAAATAAAACTTACAGTGTTGTAAATGTTCTTAATAAATAATTGCACCTAAGCAATAAGGTAGAGTGATGGGAAATTAGATCACATCAATGCATAGGATATTGTCTTAATTTCCTGTGGCTGCTCCAACCAATTAACACACACCTGGTGGCTTAAAACAGAAATATGTTCTATCACAGTTCTGGAGGATAGAAGTCCAAAATCATGGTGTCAGCAAGGCCATGCTTCCTCGAAAGGCCCAGGGAAGAATCCTTCCTTGTCCCTTTTAGCTCCTGCTGGTTGCTGGCAATTCTTGGCTTGTAGCAGCAAAACCCTTGTCTCTGACTCTGTCATCACATGGCCTTCCCTTTGTGTATCTGTGTGTCCAGATCTCCCTCTTCTTATACAAGGACACCAGTCATTGGATTCAGGGCCCACCCTAATCCAGCATCTTATCTTGATTATATCTGTAAAGACCCTGTTTCCAAGGAAGGTCACATTCACAGGTTCTCATTGGACAGGAATTTTGAAGTAACACTATTCAGCCCAGTCCAGATGCGGAACTATTCCAGTATAATTCAGTAGAAGGAAAATAAGAGGAAAAGCTGTCAGTAGCTTTGCCTTAAAAACAAAAATTACTTTTTATGATCAATTATATCCAAGGTATTATAAGATATTATAGAAACTGAACTTGTATATAATTTTTTTGCGAGGGGAATCGAGAGAGAGGTAGTGCTTCTTAAGAAAAGGAATACAAAATTGCAAATACAGAGGTATGAAAGTACATATTCATTTAGATATTTAAAAGGGTAAATTGAAAATCTTAAAGGCAACATCCACACTCATCACAAAACACTGGGAACTGTTTTTGTTAACTGCCTGATACTTATCCTTTTTTTTTTTTTTTGGTTGCATAATACTTTGATCACCTCTTCTTGTAACAGTTTTGTATTAGTTTCTCAAGAGAGAATATTTAATTCTCTCTCTAGCATGGTTGAAAAAATTTATAATTAGAAGTTTCTTTCAGTTCTCAAAAGCTGTTATTGGCAATGTTGTTTAAATTATTAGGATTCTTGTCAAATTTGGGAAAAGGTAATCTGAAATTCCTTTAGGTATGAGCTATAGGAGTCAGGCATTTTTCAAGATACCTCATGTAGCAACTAATCTTAAATCCTTCACTGTCCAATAGAATTTTCTGTAATAATGGAAGTATTTTTTATCTGTGCTGTCCAGTATGGTAGCCAGTAGCCACAGGTGGTTATTGAGCGCTTAAAATATGATTAATGTGGCTGGGAAACTGAATTTTTTATTTACTTCAATTTTAATATTGGCTTTACACCCAGAAATCTGCCCCCTTCTGTGGGGCCACCTCAGTGCCCTCTTCTGGGCCTCCCTCCAGGCCCAGTGAGTATGTCACCAGACCTGGGCCTGAGCCAGTGAATTTGGTGAAACTAACCAAGGACATAGAGGTGAGAGAAAAATTATCAGCCTCACCTACCTATGTGTGCTCAGAATGACTATTGAATCAATGTATTTAAAAAAGAAAAGGTGTATAGTTCTGGAACAGATTCCTTCTTATGTTCTTATGACTTGTAAGATCTTTCCCCTTCTTTCAGCATGAAGTCACATGTATCAGTCAGGACAGACTACATGATGCTACAGTAACAAGCATCCCCTCAACTCCCATTTTCTTCAACTAGCAAAGGTTAATTTGTACTTATACTACCTCTCTCTCCATGGTAGGCACCATAATATAGTTTTCCATAATACAGTCTGCAGAGATCTGGGCCATCTAGAAGGTCCATAGAACATCAAAGTAATGTACTACACTGCTGAGAGCATCCTAATCAAACTGGATGAGCAAGACATGGTGAAACACATGTATTCCAGAGGATAAGACATACATCCCAGGAAGATTCAGCATTTGCCACATCAGTGAAGTTTTTAGGGGTCCAGTGATGAGAGGCATGCAGGACAGCTCACCCAAAGGAAAGGACAAATTATTGCACCTTGCATCTCTCAATGTGAAGGAGGAAGCACTGCAGCTTGTATGCTTCTTTAGGTTTTAGAGGCAATATATTACATATCTGGGAACACTGCTCTGACCTGTATACAAGGAGAAACAAAAAGCTTCCTGCTTTGGGTGGGGCCCAGAGTAGGAGAAGGCCCTGCACGAGGCCCCCGCTGTGGTGCAGGGATCCCTCCCGTTTGGACCATCTCACCTGGAAGATGTATCACTGGAGGGAAAGGGGCTACACAGAATGTATGGCAAACCACAACAGAATCCCAGCACCTACCCTCTGGCCCTGGGGAGCAAGTCTCTGCCATTTCCAGCAAATAAATTATTTACCTTTTAAAAAACACTCCTGGTGGGCTACTGGGCATAGACAGAACCCTAGACCCTGAGGCATGAAGTGACCACAAACGCCCATGAGGAGCTGTTTTGACAGACCTACTACTATGGGATAAGGCCAGGTGGGCCCATGAGAGCCATTTTAAGATGGCAGTGGTCTGTCTGCGGCCACACCCAAGTGAGAGCAGAGGCACAGCCAACCGCTCTGCATGCGGCCAGACTGCTCTGTCACCCACCATTCTTGCAGCAGGGCGGCTCAGCAGCTCCTACCCGAGGCTCTCTGGGGAATTCTGTATGACCAGATGAAGGAGGAAGAAAACATCCAAATTTAGTTCATGGCCAAGTGGGCTTGGTATCTGTGTAAGCCAAAAATAGACCTCAGCTGTATACAGTCTGAGTCAAGGGTGGTCTTAAAAGAGTAGTGTGGAAAAATTTCTGGTGGACAGAATTTGGGCAACACACTTGGTTTTCCATTTTATGTATAAAGAAAAGGCCAAAATTAGAATATATATGGCTTCATGGGCAGTGACAAGTGGCTTGTCTGCCTTCAGGAGCCTGGAAGGAAAAGAATTTAAGATCAGGGGCAGGGTCTGGCATAGAGGCATGTGGAGGGACATATGGGAACGGTGGGCAGAGTACGAAACAGTCATGCCACATGCTCATGTGAGCTGGAGTTCATTCCCCGTAGAAGAGGTGCTGAGCGGCCAAGCAGACCCTGTGACAGCCAGAAGCTGCTGCTGGCCCTCCCAGTGCCGACACAGAGGTGGCAGGGATGCAGGCTGTGAGCAGGCCCTACGGCATGGGCTTCCACGTATCAAAGCTGATTTAGCTGTCAATGACATTAACAGACAAACACTGAGTTCTGATACACTTAATCCCTCAAGGAGACTGGTAGCAAGCTGACTGCATTGGACCCTTTCCCTCCTGGAAGGGCCAGTGGAAGGGCCAGTGATTCCTTCCAACAGAAACAGACACATACTCTGACTATCAGTACCTTTCCCATCAGAACCACTGTTAACATGCTTAGAGAATGTTGGAACACTGGGTGCCACATGCTACATAAGCTCGAGAGACCCACTTCACAGCAGAAAGGTGCAGAGTGGCCTGGGACCATGGACCACATCACAGAGTGAACCACTTGGGGGTCTGATGGGGAGTTGGTATGGCTGCTGAGGGCATAGCACAAGCTCAGAGGCTGTTTTACAAGAATGAGGTGCCACCTTCCAGGATATAGGAACCTTTTGGGTCCAGCATCTTTATATGGTGCTTTGTCCTCAGTAGAAAGAATACAAGGATCTGGGACCTAAAGACTTGTTACTGTAACTCCAGGGACCCACTTGGGGCATTTGTGCTTCCTCTGCCCTTACTTCTGAGCTCTGCAGTTTGGGACGTCTTGGTCCCCAGAGGGAGATTTCAGCCTGTGAACACAGTAAGAGACTCTTTGAATCAGAAGCCAGTTGTCATCTGCATGTGTCAACGTGACCAGCAAGCAGGAAGAGTTGCCACGCTGATGGGGCGGCGGATGCTGACCAGGAGGAGGGGCAGGGCTGCCATCCTGGGGAGGAGATGGCCACGTGTGAAAGCCAGTGATCCCCATGGGTGTCTCTTGGAGCTCCCTTGCCCAGTGTTGATGGTAAATGACCAAGTGCAGGCACCCCAGCCTGAGAAGGGTGTGTGGACCAGGGGTTCATACTTCTGAGACACATTTGGGTCCTCACACCAGTTTAGCCACTGAGACCAGCAGAGGTGCTAGCTGGGGTGAGGGGAGTCTAGAATGGGTGGTGCGGAGAGAGAATGACGATCATCTGTGGCCTTGAGACTGGCAACAGGGGTGGGGGTTGTCAGTCACCCCACTAAAAGGCCCATTGGAATATTGAAGGAGCTTCTTCCAGAACAAAGAGAAGAAGTGTTTCCAAGAGGCACAAGGGGTGGGCTGTAGTGACCAGGGAAGTGCTGCCCAGACCCCTTCCAGCTGATGTTCTAGTGGCTGAGAACGCCGTCAGCACAGCCTCCAGCTTCCTGCCCCTTCTGGGATTGTGTCAGCCGCGGAGTTCCCAGGCCGCTCGCACCCCACAGCTGACCAGTACGGGAGCATGAGGGCCTGGGCCTCTGCCCAACTCAGGGCCTCTCTGAGGGATTGTTCTAGTCCAGAGCTCCCCAGGGGCCTAGGGGAGTTGTTGTTGGGTGCACACTGTGGCTGTTGTTGGGGGCACACTGTGGCTGTTGTTGGGTATACATTGTGGCTGTTGTTGGGGGGCACACTGTGGCTCGACTTCTCCCTTTCCCGCCTTCTGCCTCCTTCCCTTCCCCTTCCCAGGTGCTGGTTCTAAGGGCATTCCTTAATAAACATTCTGCCCACCAAACTCCATGTCAGAGCCTGTTTGTCCAAAACCCACCCTGCAGCCTCATCAAATCAGAGGAATATACAGGCCGCAGAATGTGATCATGACAAAAGCCTGTATCTGGCTGGAAATGCCAGGTGACCAAATCAGAGGTGTAGGGCTGTTCGCAGCTGGGACGGACCAAGGGCCCAAGGCAGGGACTGGGTGGACTTCCCTTGTCCGGCAGTAATTCCTCCAAACCCCGAGAGCCGGCGGGGCCGTGTGGGAGAGCCCTACCTAGGTCCCCGTGCTCCTCCTTACCTAGAGCTGAGGAGCTCATGGCCTGGCTGGGTGCCCACAGGCTGACTGGTTG